GATAGAATGTCAAACAAAAGCCGCGATTATCTTAGAGTTTTCTTTTAACCGGAAGTGGTTTTCTTAGACGAATGTGCATTTCATTAAGAACGCAGAGTGTGCGAGGAACATAAGGAAAAATGGGAGAGGATCTGGGAGAACATATTTCGCTGATAAATTTGCTTTACTGATTTTTATCGGAGAAAATTTTTCATAAATGCGAAGGGTCGTGTAAAGGAAGACGGTGTCTTTAAATTCTACGTGCAATAGTCTTGTCAAAGAGGCATGAGCTATCACGCACGACGCACGACCCACGACCCACGACCCACGACGCACTACCCACTCACCCACGCCAATTAGTCAATCTTGTCTCCCAAGTATTATATCAAACGTTATAAACAACAAAAACGAACTCTGAAAGGCCGTTAGGCTAGCAAGTTTTCAAAAACCAAAATTTCAATCCCTTTCAATCGTCTTCAAGTTTGTCCATCCCTGGCTCCTTTTGTATTTGCTGTGCCGTTTATTATTCCTTCTTTTGACGTTTTGAGCGATATTTAGTAATTAATTTCTCAGGTGATTTTAGAGATTCGTGCCCTCTTAATGGTTCATGTCTACGTCATATGTTCTTACAACCACCTGGTGAGGGGATATTACAGAACGTATTAGCTTTACAGAGTCAGTTTCGCAGAGCTTTAAAGGTGTTACTTAGTCCTAGAGAAATGACATATAAGGTATGACGTGAAAGTTAATTATTTTAACATATTATTATTTTTTTGGAACTTCTTACAACTGTTAACAATTAATGAACTAAAACGTTCATCCCATCGAAAAGTCCAATTTAAATTATTATTGACGCACGGGGGATGTGAATATAAACGTCAGTTTGTATATCTCTAGACGTTCTACCTTACAAAAAAAAGTCTCATGAAAAAGATATGCATTTATGAGTGCTGCTCGTAAACCTGCCAGAAGTTTGATACCGATTTCTACACGAGCGATCAAAACAGCAAGAATATGGCAAAACTTTCGCTTTTATCGAACTAGTATAGTTCCCTCTAACAAAGCGAACTCGTACTATAGTTGCAAAAGGAGATAAAAAAGATCAATATAAACCTTATACTTACTTGTTTTCGCGCGTCTAATAATACGGAGACGAATTTCGCGTTACAAGGAAAATTAGAGAAAAAGTGTAATAAATTTGCCGATTCTGTCAGTGGTTTATTTTTTTGAAACCCTGCTGAGATAAAAGTACTTGTCACCAAATATCTGATTCAAAACAAGATTGGTAATTACAAGAACCCTACATAGTAATTTTCAAGGAGTTATAATAACTCCTCTAGTGGGGTTCAGTTTAATTCCTTACAGTGGAGTTATTTTTGGGGGGAGTTATTTTAACCCCAAAAAGGGGTTTAAAGAACTCTTTTTTAGGAGAAAAAATGATCCCAGATGTTGAGAAGTTAAAATAACCCCCAAAAAGGAGTTATCCTGTACCTAAAATTTTTACTCCATTTTCAGAGTAAAAGTAACTCCAAAAAGAGTAAAAACAACCCATGTAAGGAGTAAAAATAACCCATTTTCGGGGTTATTTAAACTCCAGACTGGGAGTTAAAAGACCTCTTTTTCAGGATTAAAAATGACCCCAAGTTTGGAGTTTAATCAGGAGTCAAAGAAACCCCATAAAAGGGGTTATATATTCTGGACAAAGGGAGGGAATTCATTTTGTAGGCAGATCTTCTTCCAGGCTGTGTTAACTTTATTTTCGACCGTCTTGGCTGACATCTGTTTTAGCAGGTAGCTCTGTGTATTCGATAACTTTTTATCCTTTTCTTTTCAGTACCAGGTATTTTACATAAAATCTTAAGTTCACACTTTCAATCAATCCACTTATTTGAATTTGTGAAAACAGAATAATTTTCAGGAAAAGAAAACTTGGAGAAATTCCTCTCACGCCTTCAATTTTGTGTGTACGTGTGATAGTTTTGCATTTGTTATTTAATACATTAATTATTGCAGCCTGATTAAAGCTTAATGGAGGGTTTTTTCCCCACAAAACCGAAGCAAAAAAGCTTCCGTTGTGCTATATTTACATAGTTTCCGAAACAACACGTGTATTAAATTAATATGTTTTTATCTGTTTTAGCTTTCTCGACTACTGTGACAGCTACAACGCCTTTAGCGCTTATGCCACTAATTACACAGTTATTGCTGTCATTGCGAAGCAGTTCTAGTTACTAGAACTGTGTGGGCGGAACAAGTTATATCATAATTAGTTGTATACAGGAACTTTGTGTAGAAGTTTATGAAAGACTCGACGTTCGCTCACGTATTTTCTGTACAACATTTCTCACCTTTGCTGACAAATTCGTGTTGTGAAGGATCTCCCGCTTATCTAATCTAGTTGTGCCCTCGACGTCAGTTTAGTCAAATAACACAGAGGCGGCAGAATGGTAGGGTTGTTAAGCAGCTTTATAAAAATTAGAAAGCCATCTAGATTAGTTGAGGTAAAAATTTTGAGAGATCTATTATTAATGAAAAATCGTTTGATAATTATATTCGGTCTTGACTGTTTCTTGAAAAAAAAACATCATGTCAATAAGTAACATCACAAACAGTCGACTCTAACGATCTAGCACTTTATACATTTCACTGTTCTACATAAGAACGAACAGCTGTATAGCTTATGATAACCTGTTGTAGGCCTTCAGATAGTGAGAAATAGAGCATTAAAAAATGCAATTATGCAGGTAATTTTTTTTTCTCTTTGTGCATTCCCCAATATCTGAATGTCTGGAACAGGCTACCATAAACTACTGCTTTTAAGCCTCCCCCCCCCCCCAATTTATAAGCCCCCTCAGTTATAAGCCAGTCTACCGGTAAACAAGAAAACATGGCTCTCCAGGTGATAAGCCCTCCCCTAAGCTTCCACTATTACATTTTGAAGCTTAGTTAGAAACCAGTAAATGCTAAAAGTATTTTGTTTCGAATCGCTTTCTCTATTCCAGTTATAAGCCCCTCCTTTTTTGAAAAGAAAAAAAAAATCTGAAAACTCCTTACCCCTTTGAGGTTTCCTCATGTGTCCTGAACTTTATGGTTACGCAATCATCATTCCTTAAAATTTTCAGGTGTTCACGATTTTCTCCGTTTGACAGCAAAATTATTGAAAACTCGCTCTTTGAGGTACTAATGATGGTATCCAGTTGGGAGATGATGACTGAAACCTTTGGGAGGATAAACCCCTGGGAGATAAAGGTCCGCTTTAGCAAAACGCTGAATGGCCACCAACCAAATGACCCTTAAGTTTCATGATTAGGGTTAAGAAACTGAATGAACCAAATTTCAGTTAGGGTTGTTTTACAGAAACAACTGAACTGGAATTTGATTCACTCAGTTTTCTAGTCAATCCATGCAAGTGTAAGAGACTTTCTCAGATATCCATCACTCCCCTCTAGAAAGCTGTCACTTCTCCTGGACAGAGTTTGTATTGTTTTTTACCCTGTTTGGGACAGCAAAATGATTACTATTGATTTGTTTTGACATAAACCTTCGGTTGTCTTGACTCAAGTTGTTCACAAAAGCTCACGGGCAAAATTAAAACCTTTCATTCGACGCCTCAAAAGGAGATAAACATACAGGAAAAACATAACTAGGTGGGATGGAACGAATAAATATATTTTATTTTCCTATTCACTTAATGACATAACACGTGAATTGTTTCGTTTCTGAAAAGGCGTTTTGAAATAAGATAGCATTTGCAGGACATGGAACAAGATACCTTTTTATTTAGACTGACTTTCGATCTCCACGATATTGCTTTCCCAGTGTTTGTTTTCGGTAAACGTGAGCTCACATATTAAACTCAGACGCCGGATAATCTGCTGATTAATTAGGACGTAATTAGGGACTTTAAGATCCAACGACGCGACGACAATGAGAGCGTCGCTTAAAAAGTGAATTTACGTTCCTTCATTCTTAATAGCAATTATTCCTACCCACTTACTTTGTGAAATTTAGGCGAACCCTCCTGAAGCTGAATTTCAAGGGTCCGTAGCCGAGCTCAGAAAGACAAACAAAGTTTCGTCGTTGCTTGTTTACGTCTTCCATAAAACGCAAAGTTAGGCATATTCACGTCGTAGTCGTGCAAAAACTGGAAAGAAATGTACAAAAAGGCGTGATGCACGTGCAAAGTTGTTGTTTTGCTTATTAAACCAATTGTTTTTTTTTAACGTTCTCGTTGCCGTCCGCGTCGTTGGATCTTAAAGTCCCTATTGTCTCAGTTCCGCAACCCAACGGTGTGTTCAGCTGGTTTTTGTTAATGTCTTCTCCTTATTCTAGTTGAGTGAAATCTGTATTTTCAAAACAGCCCAAAGAAGCCACTCGCTGGAGAGAGCCCAGGAAGTAAAACGTTTTCCCCAGTGGAGAAATAAGAGACAAAAATCCGTTATGCGCATGAGCAGTGATATTTGTAACTTCTGAACATGCATGACCGGATGTCAGAAAATTTCTGATGCTAATCCGGCATTTCACAACCTTCCTCTCGCTTGACCCATCCTAGTTGTAGTTTTATTGTAGTTATAGTTTGTAGATATTCACTGTAAGGATATTTTATAATTGTAATATAGTTTTCACTCTTTGTAGTCTTTTACATATATATACTTACAGTTTTTTTTTCTGTAACGATATGTATTTTTGGTGACTTAAGTTTTGTTTTATAGTTTTAGTTTGAGGGCCACTAGTTATTCAGTTGAAGTACTGTCCCGTATTACCCTCGTTAGCTGAAGTTGATCACTATCTTTATTATGATTAGAAGTATTTCTCGCACACCAAATTGCCATATTTACTTTTATTATGAAATGTTTGATTTTGCCTTTGAATGTTCCCTTTGCAGCTGGTTTGTCACGTGGTATAACAGCCACGCGGAGCATACCAAGAAGAAAGGAGATTAATATCAAATACAGCAAACATTTAAAAAAAAACTAGCCACGTAGGATTGCACACTCGAAACTCGAACTTAAAAGAAAAAAATGGTGTTAAATAATTTTACTGGAGGAGTAAGCCAGAAATTAACAACTGAACTTTATTGCTCTGGAGAGTTCACTGGAAAAGTACACAGCGAGTTGATTTTTATTTCAGTGTTAAATATTTTTCTGTCCATTACCGCGTTTCTGGGCAACACTCTGATCCTAGTAGCTCTGCCTAAGGTGTCTTCGCTTCATCTTCCTTCCAAAGTTTTGTTTGGTAGCTTGGCGACAACTGATATCTGTGTTGGTGTCATTGTAGAGCCTACGAGCGTTGTCCATTGGATGTATGCGGTGAAGCAAAAATGGAATATTTGCTATTACGCGACTGCGGCAAATTTTATCATAAGCAACACTTTATGCTCAGTGTCTTTGGCAATATCAACTGCAATAAGCGTGGACAGACTCCTGGCGCTGTCACTCGGGCTCAGATACAGAAATTTTGTAACATTTAGGAGAACACTTGTAGCTGTAATCTCTATCTGGGTTTTGTCCTTTTTGATCACGGCAGGCAATTTTTGGGATCTTCGCATAAGGTTGTGGTTTTATCACCTAGGCATATGTGTGTGTCTAGTCACCTCAGTTTTCGCTTATACAAAAATTTTCCTTACTCTGCGGCGTAAACAGATTAAAGCTAAGAATCAGATGTCTCAAACACAACCGAGCCAAGCAATTCCACTAAACATAGCTCGATACAGAAAGGCAGTCAACAGTGCGATGTGGGTACAGGTAACATTGGTTGTTTGTTATCTGCCGTTTGCTGTAGTGGCAGCGTTAACACCTCAAAGAGGGATGCCTTTGTCAATTTATCTTGCCAGGCAGTATACAGGAACTGTAGTTTACTTAAACTCAACATTGAACCCGCTCCTGTACTGTTGGAGGATCAGAGAAGTAAAGAGAGGAGTAAAAGATACAATTAGGCGGTTCTGTAGTCTTAAACTGAGCTACGCATTACCGCAAGTTGAGCAATAGCTATCATCAGCTGTTCTGAGACCCGGTTCAGAAGCCGAACTTTTCTTGAGCCAAACCTAATTCGAATTTAGGCCGACCCAAGTTACTTAGACCGGTTCAATAGATTCACACTCCGAATTAAATGCAAAACGCGAAAAAACGCTCATTTAATTCGGTCAAACTGCTTGCAAATACTTATAATAATTTATGGATTTGGTTCTCCAAATAAAGTCGAAATTCCTAGCCGGGCTGGGCGGGAGGAACGGATGAGCCATTCCAAATTGAAATAGGCCGGAACGGAAGTTGCGTAAGCACGTTTAGGCTAGGATCACGAGTTTGCAACCGGAGACGTTTGAGATGAGATAATAAGTTTTTTTGTGTGTGATAGAACAAATATTAGAGACGCGTTGGAAAACCACGAGGAGAATAAAAACAAGGATTTGTCGAGTACAATTTGTGAGTACGTGAGGTTAGAGTGCACCCAACAAGTTCGGTACAGGCCTTCCTTATTGATTCAGACGCCAAATTTTTCATGTACTTAATTCAATGTATTAGGTTCAGCTCATGAAACGTTTAGCGTCTATCTGAACCTGGCCTGACTGTGTACAAATTGATTCTTTTTGTGTAGTGTATTTTTTAACTAATTTTATTTTTTTCCATTTAAGTGAATGCAGTGTTTTCTCTTTTTTTCTTTTGCACACCGACTGTCTTATACCCCAAATGGCATTTTAAAGGTACAGCTGTTTCTGTAGTCTTGTTTCGGGTTCGTTTTCGTATCTTATCGGCCAATTAAGACAGTTTATGAAAACATACTAAAAAAAAAACGTTTTTGATTATAGCTGAAAGATAAGCACGGAAAAACACGTTTTCACTTTGCCTATCTCCTTCTCTGACCCTCTCCTTTAGTTTAGTCCAAAACATATGCCTACTTTAATTTATAATTTTGTATACATGTTGCGCCATGAGGCGTAAATGTATTTTAAAAGGGCGCCGATCACAGTGTTATCAGATGATGTGAAATCAAATATAATTCAAACTAATGTAAAAGGCATTACTGTAAAACTGATTCATTTTAGTATAGCAGGTCTGATTGTGACGTCAATGAAGCTGTCAGATTTGGGAAAACGTGGAGCCCAAAATCAATTAACAATTAAAAAACATGGGCAAATAATACCTCTGAAATTTCCTGTTAGTGAAAATTGCAGATTTTAAACGCCTACTTGAGTACAGACTCAGTGACTGTTGCATAGAAAAACATTAATTACATTCGGCATTGCTATTTACTTTAAGCAAATCTATAATACCATCAGGGTTTTTGGTCGACCATTTCATTTTTGCTTTATCTAATCCTCATTTGTTGCAAATGGATACATTTGTCTATTATCATATGGCTGAATCCGTGACTGAGCAGACAAGATTAGGCTAATGCTGAGTTCTGATTGGCTACCCGAGTAGGCAAATGTGATTTCCCGTGTCGGTCCCGGAAGAAAAAGGTCTCTGTTGTACCATAGACTAAAATCCTTTCAAAGCTTGTTCGGTTAAGATGGCTGGATATAGGCCAAGTTCTTATAGTCGTGTCCGTTCGTAACATTAGCCAACAGCAGTGGCGTTTCCAGACCTTCAGATAAGGGAGGGGGACGGTCATCCCGACCCTGAGATAAGGGGGGGGGGGGGGGGGGGGGGGGTTCCAAAAAAAGTTTTTTTTGGGCCCTGGGGGCCCCGGTTGGGTTAAAAAAATGGGGGGCCCCCGGGGCGCCGGGCCCCCCCCCCTCACTCCCCCACCGAACCCGCACATTTTAAACCAGATGTTAACGGGGTTTCTCTCTTTGT